AGTCAGTATAAGATCTAATAAGGATGATTCAGTGTCCTGATTGTACCTTGTTGCTTCTTTCACATGTTGCACTAGAGCACATGTGATAACCGTATCAACTAGTTCCTGCCTGAAAGAATTTTCCGACGATTTAGTTCGCAGATTTCCACAGTCTACCACAGGTGCATTGAAGTCCCCTAGGATTAGAGATCGACCACTTTGGGACCAAGTATTGAGACTGCTTAACAGGATCTCATTTGCCTCACAGCTTGGACTGCGATATACCAAACCAATCAGCAGCTCTTGTCCCTTGCATTTCAAGCGGCGACTAACTAATTCACACAACCCACTCTCATGGGATACACTATCGATAATGGCAAATGGGATAGCGTTCCTAATGAATAGAGCTACTCCCCCTCCTTTGGCCCTTAATAACGTAAAACCCTCGAAATCAAGTTCCATACTATCTATAGCCTGTGTCAGCCAGGTTTCTGTTACTGCGATTATATCTGGCTTTGTAGAGTCAATCTGTACACCTAGTTCCGATCGCTTATTAAGTAAGTTTCGTGCATTGGTGTAACAGATCCGAAGCCTGTTTAAATGTCTTCGTGCTTCACCCAGAGTGGCTTCGGCATCATTCTCTGTCGAAGTCTTACAACCCAAAAATTTACAATTTTCAGGTCCTTTTCGCCAGCGTCTAACCTAAGTTGTAGTTCTTTCTCGGCTTTCCAAGAACACCAGATAAAACTGCAATAAGGAATGTCAAGTGTCCTTTGAAAAAGCGAAACAGATCTTAACTCCTGAACTTTTTCTTACTCATTGTGACTCAAAACTTGAGTTAGTGGTAGCGGCCGACACATCTGATTGTCATTGGAGCGGTGATTCTTCATAAATTTCCTAATGGGTCACAAAACGCTATTTTTCATGCTTCACGCACCCTTGCTGCAGCTGAAAAGAATCATAATCAAGTCGATAAGGCGGTTTTAGCCCTAGTGTTTGAGGTCAAGAAGTTCCACAATATGCTATACGGTAAAAAGAATTACATGGCAAACTGACCATAGGCCATTGCTGGCCATATTTGGCTCTAGAAAAGGAATGCTCATCCACACTGCAAATCGGCTGACCAGGTGGGCTACTATTTTGCTACGATATGTATTCGAATTACTGTACGAGCCATCAGCTCGTATGGGTCATGCAGATGGGTTGTCAAGGTTAATTACAAATAACCTCAAGTTAGAAGGAGATAGCGTGGTTGCTTCTGTATCACTTGAACAGGAAATACAAAGTGTCCTATGGTGCTATCAGAATCCTACCAGTAACGGTGGAAGCGGTTGAAGAAGCAACGGCTCGTGATCTTCTACTCAAAAGAATAAAAGAAGCTGTTTTAAAGGGTTGGAAAGATGATAAGGCTGATCGACAGTTTCAACATTTTTTTCCAAAGACGTGAGTCTATATCGATTTATGATAACTGTTTGGTGCATGGCAATCGTGTTGTTATCCCTAAATCTCTTCAGTTTTTCGTACTTAGATGGTTTCACATTGGTCATTCGGGAATGAACAGAATGAAACCAGTTATGCGTAATTATGTCTATTGGCCATTCATGGACAAGGCAGTGGAAGAACACATATTGAGATGTCGTCGATGTGCCTAAGGTGCAAAAGATCCACCGAAAGTAGAATCCTAGGCATGGTCATAAACGAAAAAGCCTTGGGTCTGACTACACGTCGATTATGCTGGATCAATAAATGGACAATATTTTTGGTGGTGGTAGATTCAAAATGGCCTGAAATTTACGTTGTGCTAAGACAGTCTACGTCTGAAACACTGATGCATATCAGACAACTATTTGGTACGTTTGGGACACCTAATGTTTTGGTTTCAGATAACGGGACGCAGTTCACGTCGCCAGAGTTTGAGGAGTTCTATTAACAAAATGGAATTGGAAATATTATAACCCCACCGTATCACCCTCAGTCGAATAGGCAAGCAGAAAAATTTGTTGATATTCCTCAGCGAGCTCTCTTAAAGATGGGAGGAGGAGATAATGTAAAAGAGGCTCTGCAACACTTTCTAATCTCTCATAGAATTACACCTCGTCCAAACTATGAAGACGGGAAATCACCAGCTGAATAATGTTGGGTCGACCAATTAGGACATTTTTTCATGTTTTGGACCCGAAAAACAGAATGATTGAACTACAAAAAATAAGAAAGGGAATCGCCAGAGGATTCCAGAATGTAAAGCAGGTGACTCAATCTGTGAGCGTGATTTCCGGCCTGGCCAGCCAAAATGAATATTTGGATGTGTAGGGTGGCGTCGAGTCGCGGTTGACTATAATCACCACTATAGGAAGATTACGTGCAAGTTAACGGATAAGATACCCTTAGGCGCAATATCAGAAGGCAGTTGATGGCTGTAGTCGAGACAAACACCGTAAACGTTCCCTTTCGAGTCTGCACGAAACGATGTGGGAGACCCAAATATCTATTCATTATGTGACGCAACCAAATTTCATTGAGTGAACTACTATAAATTCCTCTAATTTTTACAACACATGCTTTGATACTTTTAATTCTGGTGCTAAAGTAAAAGCTCAATATGCACGGAAATCTTCTGCTACTTAACTCCGCCTGGAACCCTTGAGGGCCACTGCCGGCCCAAGCCCGGATAATGGAGGAGGGTTGGGCAAGGGGTTAACAACCCCATCCTGTAGAAAACTAACAGGGCAAAAAGCGCTAACCAGAAAGAACAACTCATCTCAGTTATTCAGCTGCTTCATTAAGGAGATTATGTGCGTAGAATGAAGTAATAACGATGAGGACGGAATCGAGAAAAATATGTACTTGTCTCTAATAATACAGTAGAGAGTTGTGGCCTATTCCGATATTGGTCCACTAATCTTTGCTACTATGATAATAGAACTAATTTCGAACTTGTAGCTTTTTAATTATATGAATGCCTTATTCTATAAGGTCTTACGTGGAAGTCACACCATGGTCTACACTAACTCGTCCTATCATGACGATCACCAATTTAATGTTTAGCGCTTCTAAATAACACGTTTGGGTTGTAGGATAACATATTTGATACATGAAGCAAGAGCGACCACGTTTGCATAGTCAAGACACGCCGTTTAGATTGATTGTTTTAACGTTCACCGTCACTAAATTTCTCACCGTGTTATATGTGAAATTTCTCGGTTCATGTTTAGTATCGTGTGGTTGAAATTAAATACCACAGCAATAATTCACACAAGATTTATGTTCACGTTCTAGAAGGACTCCCACTACAACACGATTTCACCGAAGAATAACAACATACCCTGCAGTTATTTATGAAGCAAATTAAAGTGAACACCTGAAAGTCACTGGTGACATGCAATTCATCACCTTGCTTCTTCCTATTACTGTTCCTATCATCATCCGAACTAATCAAATTATCTTTAATAACACGGTTTAAGTGCGACTAACATCCCGATGATAGTTCAAATTTAATGCCTTTTCACTAGTGGACATAGGTTGGCAAGTTAAAATAAAACCATGAATTGTTTGAGAAGCACTCTATACGACTCCCATGTTTCTTTCCTAGATCTCGTGATGTCTCCACGCCGGTTTATATTTACACGTGGTTGTTAAGATCCCCCATGTACACACCATATGTAATAGTCTTACTCTTAAATATTTTGCTGTTGTAGCGGTAAATAAATCCCCAAAATAAGTAGCTCTGTAAGTTTTCGACATTTAATGTTGACCATATGTTTTAGTGGACTCATCTAGCTGAAGGCGCTCGGCCGGGCATCCGCACCACACCACGTGTGGTAACGCTGTGCTCAACATCTACTGCAATCGCTAGCCAGGTTAGATCAGAGAATTCCGATATATTGATAATCGCCAAATACACTCTTCCGATCACCTCGACTTTGTCTTTTGATTTCTCTGGGTGGGTACGAATTATATTAGGTGTTGCTGGTAAAAGCGTTGTCAAACACTGAATACCTGCGCCATCTTCGCTGTAAATCTCGACACCCTATGTTTAGTATTGCATACTTTTGGCAGCAAACTCTTATTATCCATTTCATCCCTAGTTTTGATTTACTGAAGACGTCACCCAATTAACATGGCTTTACGGTGTTAATTTTGCTCTAATTGAACTGGAAACCCAGTTGCTGTCATATCGCTTGTTGAATTTGCGTTATTTCTGTTCAAATCGATTGAATCATTTTAAGGTTTGACTGTAGAATACATCTTCAAGATTATTCGGGACATTTTTTCTCTTTACAACTTGTTTGTACAATGTATGTACACATTATTACCTGTCAGAGTTTGAGTGATCGAACCGGTTAGTTAACTGACAGAATTAGGTCCCTCATTTGGTAGGGGCTGAACTGGATGTTGGCAGGATAAAGTTAATATATTCCCGCCCTAGTTTGGGAATAAGAAATACCTATGCTCTTGAAGATAACGTAAGTCTCCCATTTTAAAAGGCTATGGTTCATAATTGTCTACGAAAACAGGGTGAGTTGCAACAGTATAATTTACCTTTTATTAAAGAGCAGTCGACAACTTAATATGATCAGCTCATTTTTTCCAAATATAAACACTATTTGCTCCTACTGAGCTTTAACCAAGAAACAAATTAGACTACACCAAATAGACATTTGTTACGGATCACATTGCCAGAAACATTTTTATGAAGTGAAATTAAATGATAAACAAAACCTTTTAGTCGGCAGCACGTAGTGACTGGAAATTACTCACCCAGGAATAATAATATCTAGTCGATACGGATATACACGTTTGTTTAGAAACTATTAAATTCTACCTTTGACAATACCATTGTGTAAAAACACCAATTAACCTACACTTTTGATGAAATTCGTGTTACAGTAATATGACTATTGAAATACACACTAGGATTGGTGATGGAAGTCAAGTAAGAGTAAGTACTCCATCAGTGTACAACCCATAATGTTACCAAATTGAATTACGCATGTAGATAAAAAAAATCACTAGAAATATTTCACACAAACCAAATATAGTTTATTCGATTTCAGGCAGTTGAAGGAACGCCAAGAAAGAGAGAAATAACAAACGGACAAATGGTGTTGTAAATAAGAGAAGGAACAGTACAAAAAGATTGTAGAAACGATGATGATGCAGTAGTTAAACAATACACACAATAGCGTCATGAATCTTAGTTCATATATATATATATATATATATATATATATATATATATATATATATATATATATATATATATAATTAAGTTAATCTATTTTGATGACAGAATAGATATGTCGCAGAAATATGAATGTAGAAGTGAAACCAATTGTTCCCGTTAGGATCCAGAATGCGATCACCATTAATATACTATAACCAAAGTATATAATTGTAGGAACGAATTCAGTTATACTAAGCTGTGAACGAAGAAAAGTTACAAAGAAATTATCATCAGATTATGAAGGTCATTGCTTATAAGATTATAATACAAGAGCTGCAAATACATACCTTTGTCAAAAAGTAGAAGAACGAATATCCGAACAGATAAACTGCCGCTCCACCAGATGTAATGAAAGTGCGCCACCACCAGTGATAATCCTATGTGAAGAAAATTTAAACAGTTAACTACAATGTTTCGAAGTTATACAACATTGATTAAGAAATATAATTCCCGAGATCACGGTGATCAAGAAACTCGAAACAATATAACTCCGTATGATGGACCCGTTGCTACGATATATATATGTTTCTTTAAATTCAGGTAGCTAGATAATCTGTGGAGATACTGTTTTAATTGCATTTCAAAATATATCCTGGTATGACTTAAAAGAAATAAGCAAATTGATTAAATCTTCCTTTGTGCAACATATAGTAGATTCAAGACACTGAGACCAACATGTTTACATTGACACCATCTAGAAGTCCGCTTACTGTTGTTTCGCTTAATTATTGACAACTGTTTAGTAAGTTCATATTCATGACTTGTTTTTCCTTTAACAGATATCAAAACAGTTTACTAAATAAATGTATGGTGATTGAAAGTAGTCAACAGGATACTCACCAGTCTCCTTGCATCAAAACATAAAACAGGAGAGATTGAGTCACTTGGACTAGTGGTTAGATGGGGACTTAATCGACTGAAATCGAATAGTACTAATGATTTGAGACAAATATAACACTGATACTCAAGAAACGTTAAATGCAAATATATTTTTATATTGAGCATAAAAACACTCAAAGTTATCTTCCAACAAGCCACAGAGTAATAAATGGTTTTCTACGCCATATAAAATACATCCACGGACTCTGGTACAATGCTTTCAGACACGATAGATATGCCATTCTTCTAAAGCGCTAATTATAATAGCAGAAATTTAAATGAGTTGTTGTTAAAACAACTTATGACTCCAATAATTATGGAAGTAAAATACCAAACTAAAACATACCGTAATGCTTCAATCTCAATAATTCAAGTAAAAGATACCTAACAGAATTGAGTGGTCTACTTACAGTTAATTAACTTTGCTTTTGCAAAGTAAAAAGTGTAATAATGATAAATACAAAGAGAATTCACAATTATTAACATATACAAATGCCAAAAACACTCAACCTAGTTGAAAAAATAAGCATTAAATGATATACAAACTACCTTCACAAAGAATACAACTACCGAAATTTCATATTTTACTCTTTACACCTTTAAACTATGACAAAAAATGAAAATTACATTAATAAGTCTTTAATTGGGAGATGGATATTTGAAGTGATGTAGGGAGATTCTCAACTCAGATGGATGCTTTTGGTGTTGTTACGTATTCGCGAAACTAAGTACTATAATTACAAAACACTCATTTTATTCTAAACAACGTAATTAGTGTTTACTCCTGGATAAATTACAACTAATTAATCAAAATCAGAAAACATAATAACATCAAAAGGAGAATGATATGGTTTTGAAAGATATAGTTAATTGTTATTTGATAGTATACAGTAATAATTGTATATCTTTACTAGTGCTATAATGTACTATCATATTGTGAAAGTGTACCTCTTGGAACAATCTTACGAAGGATTATTGTTCTCTTATATTATCCTAGTTATAAGCTTTCATTTGGAGCATAAACTACTTCTCTGTGTCTTATCTTCTTTAAGTTACTGTTAATTAGTTGTGAACGTATTACTTAGTTCTCTTTCACTTACCAAGTAGTTATGCTAATATTGCAATTTCTTATTTATGTTGAAAATAACTAATCATACTAGTTTGAGCTATGAATTGATCTAGATAACAGAAGTCTCACTGCTTGGTGTGTTGCTATTATTTTCTAGCTAAAGAGGAAGCGAGTATGGAACTGCATACTGAATTGATAGGTTCTCAGCCGTTACCTCACTGTCATTGAGTTATTTGTCAAAGACAAGGCATTAATCTTAATTTTCCCGACCGTAGCTGCTACCTTGACGCGGTGGTCGGGCTTGCCTATCGTGATGACCCAACCGAGCTATATTGGCTGGAACATATGTTCCTGTAGGTTCTACCATGCCAGGCAGGTCGATTGGAGAACGGTAAGACTAAAAGCAGCAACTCAAGGTCTGAGGGCGAAGTCGTACTGCTGACTGTAGAGAGGTGTGACAGCAGTAAGGTGTTTCCCTCGGACAACCAGCATGAGCAGCGATGCTGCCTTCCCACAAGGAGGGGTGGGGTTAGAAAAGGTCGACCTCACCTTACCTCACGGATTTCCGTCTCCGGCGGTAAGGCCCTTTGAAGAACGGAGCTAACACGTCAAAAACCTTCCACAAAAAGGCCGTGCGCGACCGGCCTCAAGCAGTTGTCCCTTGGGCTCTGCGGTCACGCTCCCAGGTCGTCAAGACCAACACTAATCCAATTTCCTTTTCAGGTTCCTCAAGAAATACCCTTCCACGGTGTGGGCAGCCGGGAAGTGACATCAGCCCTCATACCCGTAACAGCACAAGAGACCAAGGTGGTCACATTCAAATCCTTCCTACACCTCCTAATACCTCTCTTATCTCCATGACTAACCCTCCTCACGTCTCTTTATCACCTCGCACCGCTAGGGCAAACGATTCGAGTACGTGGAACGCCATTCCTGGTCTCCTGAAACCACGCTCTAAACTACACGTAGGAGCTTTTAACGTACGAACACTTTGCCAAATAGGACAGCAGGCTTCCTTAGCTAAAACTTTAGAATCTCGCGCCATCGATGTGTGCTGCGTCTCCGAAACGCGCATACAGGATCCGAGTAGCGTCATTCATTTGACCTCACCATGCCAAAATAAAGAACCGACTCGATTTACGCTTCGTGTATCTGGAAGCCCTGATTCTGCTTCCCGTGGCCTCGCCGGCGTAGGTATAGCATTGAGTCCTAGGGCAGAACTAGCTCTCTTAGAGTGGATCCCAGTAGACAGTCGTTTGTGCGCTGTCCGACTGAACGGAACAGTAAGAATCCGGAAAGATAGGGACACTCGTCGTTGCCTCTTCGTCGTCTCTGCCTATTCTCCCACTGACTGCAGCTCAGATGATGTAAAAGATGAGTTTTACAGAAAGCTTTCGGACCTTCTCCGAAAAGCTAGGGCTCGGATGTAGTAATAGTGGCCGGTGACTTTAATGCTCAAGTAGGTAAACTAAGCGATAGGGAAAGACACCTAGGTGGATCTTATGGTGTCGTGGCTCAAAGAACAGATAATGGCGACCGTCTGTTGCAGCTATGCTCAGATAACCGCCTGTTCCTTGCAAATACTAACTTTAAGCATAAGGAAAAACATCTTTTAACATGGCGACCCCCTAATTCGTCCCAACGTTGGACCCAAATAGATCACATCGCTATCAGCCACCGATGGAGGGGCTCGATAGAAGACTGTCGCTCATTCTGGAGCACATGCCTAGATTCAGATCATGCTCTAGTGCGAGCGCGTATTTGCTTGCGTCTTACTGGACGTAGGAAAGACGCTGCAAGGAAACCTCTTAGGGCCTACTTAATGATAGTCAAGCTAAGAGTATATTTCAGGAACAACTAGGAAAACAGTTAGGCAGCCATGTATGTGATGCCCACCCCGATGCAGCATGGAATGATATCCGAAAAGCTGTGGAAACAGCAGTGATATCTGCTAGTAAGGTAAACCAGAAGGTTAGGGAGCAACACTGGATCTCAGCAGCATCTATCGCACTGATAGATGCTCGGAAACTCATTCCACCTGGCTCTGAACATAATGAAGAGCGGAGTCAGCTTAAGCGCAAGCTGACAAGAAGTCTACGCAATGATCGCGAACAGTGGTGGGTAGCGAAAGCAAGAGAGATGGAAAAGGCAGCGGCAATAGGTAATAGCAGACAATTGTTCAGACTCGTTAAGGAAACCGGAATTAGGAACCCGACCGTTAGCGAAACAATCTCAGAGAAAGATGGACATATTATTCATTCTCAATCCAGGAGATTGGATCGATGGGCAGAACACTTTAGGGATCAGTTCAACTGGCCTTCAGCCACACTTCGGTTTCCCACGATCTCCAGTCAACCTGAATGGCAAGTTAATGTAGGTCCTCCGTCCCTTTACGAAGTTGAAAAAGCCATAGGAAATCTGAAACGAGGGAGAGCAGCAGGCCCTGACAGGTTTACTCCTGAGATTTTTAAGGATGGTGGTCCAGTATTAGCAATGAGATTAACTGAGGTCTTAGGTAGAATTTGGGAACTGGACGTAATCCCATCTGACTGGTCTCAATCACTGATTGTGCCAGTCTATAAGAAAGGACAAAAGTCCTCTTGTGACAATCACAGAGGAATCAGTTTGACTAATATAGTGTCTAAAATATTAGCTTCAATAATACTTCGACGCCTAATCAAAGCTCGTGAAGAGCAGACTAGAGAAAACCAGGCTGGTTTTCGACCTGGACGTGGTTGTATAGATCAGATATTCACACTACGTCAGGTTCTAGAACACAGACACACATTCAGACGCCCCACAATGGTAGTATTTCTCGACCTTAAGGCGGCATTCGACTCTGTTGATCGTGAGGTTCTATGGCAGTGTTTGTCACTGAAAGGAGTACCAAAGAAGTACATTAACCTTATAAAGGCTCTCTACTCGAACACAACTGGTAGAGTGAGAGCTTATGGCGAACTGTCATCAGAATTGATTACCTCAAGTGGTGTTCGTCAGGGCTGTCCACTCTCCCCATTCTTGTTCAACTTTGTGGTCGACGTACTTTTAGAGATAACACTCTCCTCATCTAAATTTCCAGGGGTTGAACTTCTACCGGGAGGTTCACTTGTTGACTTAGAATATGCTGATGACATAGTTTTATTTGGTGAAGACGCTGACAAAATGCAGAGTCTTCTGACCACTCTAAGCAACAATGCAAGCATGTTCGGGATGCGATTCTCTCCCTCGAAATGCAAAATGTTGCTTCAGGATTGGGTTACATCGACACCCGAACTAGTGATAGGGAGTGAAGTAGTTGAGCGTGTCTCGGAAGTCTCATCAGCCCTTGTGGTCTGGTGTGTGACGAAATCTCAGCACGGATACAGAAGGCTCGACTAGCTTTTTCCAAATCCGTCTATCAACCAAAGGACGTCTTACTGCGCAGCAGTTCGTTCCGTCCTACTTTATGGCAGTGAAACATGGCCGGTAAGAGTAGAGGATATTCGTAGGTTACTAGTATTTGATCATAGGTGTCTTCGAAACATTGCTCGTATATCCGGGGACCATCGAGTAAGTAGACAGTTGTTAGGAAACGGGTACTAGGTAAGGATGGCAAATCAATTGATGACGTAGTGAAACTTCATCAGTTGAGATGGCTGGGACACGTGTTACGTATGCCCAACGACCGACTGCCTCGACGTGCTATGTTCAGTGGTATAGGAGTAGGTTGGAAGAAAGCTAGGGGCGGCCAGACCAAAATATGGCACAAATCCATGAAGTCACTGACAATTGGACTGAGTCATGTTGGTAGGTGAGGACTACCTGGTCGGGATCCACTAGACGATAGCAACCGATGGTTAGAGACCTTGAATGACATGGCTCAACGTCATTTGCAATAGCGCAGGTGCACCTACTCTTTGTGTTATCCCGAATTCTAACCTTCTGAATTCTTCATGTCCCTTTCCTTTTTCTCATTCCAAATTTATCTCACTGGATTATACTCCTTGAGCAACATCTTCGAACTCTAATCTTTCCGACTACTGCTTATACTATTACTACCTCTACCACTATGGGATTTGAATGGACAATTGTATTTGTGTGCTAATGTTGTATGGCAACTGGAACTGATTTACGTACGTACGGAGTTCTAGGTTGTTACTAACTGACTGACATTAATCCTAAACATGCAATCTATGTAAATGAATTAATAATTAAATTAAATCATATATCTGCTCCTAAAACGACAATCTGATCTCATAAAGGCCTCCATACAATACAAGAACTTGTTTTTATTATCGTCACAAAGAAGGAAAATTCTCGAAATAAACCACCTTCAGAGAGATAGGAATAGTCTTGTATAATATTAAAATTTATGATAAATTTCTTACTTCACTGCATAACTGAAAATACGTAGCAACAACTGCTACTTGTGCACAACAAATAATTAATATGATGAATACAACGAATAAAAATCCGAACAAATAGTAGAACTGACTTTCCCAGATAGCCTGTTTAATTTGAAACAAAACAGTGCAAAATTATGCAGACGTAAGATATGACAATAATAATGACTAGTAGACAGTAAATAAAATGATTATAATATCTGATATGTGGGCGAAAATAATGATTGGTTGTCTGCTTAGTCAGACACGTAGATAGTCTGATGGGTGCCAGATGAGTTATATATTTCCCTATCCTTATTATTATTACTCACTTATTATTGATTGTTCATTTTTGTTGGATTGTGTCGGGTGTTTGGTGTGGAAATATATTTACGTTCTAGTCAGGCTGTGGTGCGTGCTACTTATATTGATATAAGTAGTATATAACGTGAGTTAAAAGAACGTAATGTCCGGCAGCAGAAGTTGGGGAAGATCAAGAAAGGAAGAGCGAGAACACAATGGAATTTGTGAGAAATCGCATGAACAATGAAATATGAGACAATGGATTGATGTTTGCAACAGCAACAGTCCGGTTTGATATGATGGAATGATATTTTGCAAATTAACGATAACTATATGGTTTTCCTATTTTACCAAGCAACTATGTAGTTTTGTGCTAAATACAATTTGGTTGTCCTCACCTGTGTTCCGCTACACTACAAGGCTAACCACGTATTCTTGATCTGAGTTGTGTTGAAGTCCTGTAGAATAGACACTGAGAGGGAATCTAGTGTAGATATTCGCCTAAGGAAAATTTACGTCCCATACGTGTAAACGTGGAAAACCAACTGTTATAACAATATCAATCTGAGCAGTAGAAGAGTGAACTTACTGCTTGAACTACTCAGTGTTCAACCAACAGGTTGCAATTATGAACTTCATTTTACTTTCAGTTTGAACTATCCAACAAAAAGTCGACTTATGTGAACTTGGTAATTAACAAAAAAGTTCCATTTTGACATTACTCTATATTAATGAATGCCTGAAGTAAAATTAGAGAACTGTCCTTCTATAGACATATATTTTCCATATAACCATAAATACGAATGTAAAGATTAAGTAAATGATTTCGTCAAAAAAATTTCTTCGTTGAGTTCTCTTTATTTTTATTCAACTATGGAAAATCTTCAAGATGAAAAGAGCAACACATGGTGCTTTCTGCACCTGTGACTAATGGTTTGGAGACTTATACGGATATTAGAAACATACTGGGTATAATCCACAAGATTATTAACTTGAAAAAGGTATGATAACATTAGTCAAGCAAATGTTTTATCTCCGAATTTTTTTAACAATTTATCAGTCAATGCACATGTAAGACTCGTTGTTACATGTTTTATTTATCATCAGTTGTTTACTAAATCTGATGACATAATTTTGATTTTCTTGTCTTCATCTTTTTCTCTTGGGCTCACTTGAGGGACAAGTTAATCGCTTCAAGTTTAAGTTTGTACCTACACGGTGGTTTGATTTACGGACAAGTAAACTATTCAGTGTGATAGATAGAAAGAAATCGGATATAACCCGTGTAAATAATTACGACGCATATTTATAATCATATATAAGAAAATCTACTAGCCCTATAATATCAAGTATTACGTTGGTTAGAAATCCTGTCTCTGTGATTCAAATATGACAATTTATTACTTCCAACAATAAAATCTAACACTAACCAAAAAGTTAACACCAGCTACTATAACCAACCAGCGACGAATTTTAGTGAAGTTATATTGTGGTCGGTCAGACATAGATACCTAGATCCGAGTGCCAATGCACCCAATAGCATTCGAATTCAGTAACTTTCGCTTCGAATCCCAACACATTATCAATTGAGCTATTGAATTCAGACAATTACTAACTTGTACAACAGGTATGAAGTTTTATATGTTTCAGTAACATTTGTGAAGTTAGAAATAGAAAACCAGCTAATAAATTAAAAACAAATCAAAACTCCATCAAAGTCAGTTCAACCAAAGTTTTAAATCAGTACATAGAGCATATTAACTTTTTTTTTTAATATAAAAGACGAATATCATAAACTTACATTGTATATAAAGAAAACTTCGATAAAGACTGCACCAAATGGTAGAGCTCCAGAGTAAAGTGTACTATAAATAAATAAAGATATGTAAATGGAAGACAATATTTGTAGATCATCAATAATATTTACGTCTTTTTAAATGATCCAGAACTATGTTGATTAAGAAATAATTGTTTTATGATCTCCTAGAAGGGCTAACAACTTTGCTTAAGGAGATTATTTAGAAAAAAATAGAAACAATAATGATGAAGAAACTGTCGGCTGAGTATACTGTAACACATACAACCAATACAGTCAGTCAGTCAGTCAATCAGTAACAACGTAGAACTTCGTACGTACGTACATCAGTTCGAGTTGCAACACCACATTAGCACAGAGATGCAGTGGTCAATTCAAATCCCGTAGTGCTAGATGTAGTAAAATTATAAGCTGTAATCAGAAAAATTAGAGTTTGAAGATGTTATTCAAGGAGTATAATCCAGTGAAATAAATTTGGAAAGAGAAAAAAGAAAGGGACATGAATAATTCAGAAGATTAGAATTTGGGAGAACATACAACCAATACACATGCCTATGATGAATAACAAATTTATTTATTTATTTCTACTTAAAACTTAATGCCTAATAACAGCATAAATTGTGAAACAGTTCAGTGGCACATGAGCGATGGTTTGAAGATCCTTATTATTAGAGCCATCAAACTACCCATTTATTCAACCTTTAAAATCAATAGAGATTCTACTCTCACCAGCCATAGGGTAGTGTTCCCGTTATGAATTTAAGTTGTGGTCGATTTTTACCCTGTGCTAATTGTTGTGTCCTTGACTAGAAAATTAGAGAACAGCGTACTTATCGACCGATTCAATGACACGTAAACACGTACGGACGGCCTAGAGTCTCTATTGGTCTCGCTTCCCCGTCTAGCCCAGTTAGTTGAGTCCAGAACACAAGTCACAGCCTCGGAGATATGAATCATTATATTTCAAACATACTTTGTTTATATACCAATCAAGCACACCACATCGTACCATAAAATAGAAAACAACATTTTGTACAATATACAACAAGTGAACAGATATCGACAAATAGAAAATACCCATTTAAAGTCCAAGGACACTATTGGACTTAACATGATAATTATTGGTCTATTCCTGCGCATCCACAACACCTCCCCTTTTTTTTGAAAATCCGGAGTTAATATACGGATTTTAAAATTTTCTGCGTTCATCCTCCCCCACGAAATAACGTTGGGTCCTCATATACCCAAGTAACAGTTAGTCTGATTCGAATTAAAGCATATTTCGCGCATTGAGTAGAGGGTTCACTAAAACTGACTAGATGATGGGGATTAGTGACACCAGACATGAGGTCATTAAGGTTTGATTCTTGTGCAACATATTCTTCAGACCTCTTCAAAATTCTATCACTGGATAATAGGTCACTAAAACAAACAGCATCTTTGAAATTCATATTAGATTTCTGACCATTATTTGATGCACGGGAAACATTTTCTGGCACGAGAGGTTCTTCTTGTAAGCTGGATACCTCACATGTTTCAGGCACAGTGGGATTTGAACCCACAACAGGGAATGTTTCGGAATTTGACATCTCTGGACAACTGGGCGGCTGATGAATAACTGTCTCGTTTATATCACTGGTCGTCCGGGATTCACAGAGGCTTTTATAAACAGCTTCATATGTTCTGCAGTTGTTTTCCAGCTCAGTCTGCAGATGAGAAATGAACTTGCCAACTTCTGTTGCATCTCCGAAACATGGAAGATTTACCAACAGTGCGCGTAAATTTTCTAAAAAATTTAACTGGCTATTTTTGAAGCACTGCTGTTGTTGCTCAAGTAGAAGCTGTAATCGATCGGAAAAGGTAGTCATTTTTTTCAGCACCTGCAATGAAAATTAACTGTAGGAATAATGACCAATGTTGCTCAAGGACGCTGGTGACAATTTGGATGCTGATTGGTCGAAACAATTAGCCTGAATCTCGTCCAATTACAAGGTTCAAAATTTATCCCATCCCCGTCGCCAATTGTTATGAATTTAAGTTGTGGTCGATTTTTACCCTGTGCTAATTGTTGTGTCCTTGACTAGAAAATTAGAGAACAGCGTACTTATCGACCGATTCAATGACACGTAAACACGTACGGACGGCCTAGAGTCTCTATTGGTCTCGCTTCCCCGTCTAGCCCAGTTAGTTGAGTCCAGAACACAAGTCACAGCCTCGGAGATATGAATCATTATATTTCAAACATACTTTGTTTATATACCAATCAAGCACACCACATCGTACCATAAAATAGAAAACAACATTTTGTACAATATACAACAAGTGAACAGATATCGACAAATAGAAAATACCCATTTAAAGTCCAAGGACACTATTGGACTTAACATGATAATTATTGGTCTATTCCTGCGCATCCACAACAGTTCCTATAGCAAAAATAGTTAATACATCTTACATAGTTAATTTTACAAGCGAAGCAAAAGTCAGTCAGTCAGTAACAACATAGAACTTCGTACGTACGTAAATCAGTTCCAGTTGCCATACAACATTAGCACACAAATACAATTGTCCATTCAAATCCCATAGTGGTAGAGGTAGTAATAGTATAAGCAGTAGTCGGAAAGATTAGAGTTCGAAGATGTTGCTCAAGGAGTATAATCCAGTGAGATAAATTTGGAATGAGAAAAAGGAAAGGGACATGAAGAATTCAGAAGGTTAGAATTCGGGATAACACAAAGAGTAGGTGCACCTGCGCTATTGCAAATGACGTTGAGCCATGTCATTCAAGGTCTCTAACCATCGGTTGCTATCGTCTAGTGGATCCCGACCAGGTAGTCCTCACCTACCAACATGACTCAGTCCACTTGTCCGTGACTTCATGGATATTTAAATTTTATGAATGTATCGAAATAAAAACACGTAATTCTTATGTTAGACTGTTTACAAGAATAATGAATCAACTTTTACATCGATTTATTCATTAGGCGAATTGAAAAAAATTGCATAAACCATGTGTTTATAGTATTTTTATCGTCACATGAAGTCATTCATAACTTATATATTTACTACCACTCTTTAGAAAAGTCATAAAAATCATGAAGAAAATATATAGTAAAGTGAATTTCGTAAGTCAATGGTATATACATATATCTATAACGTTTCGAGGCTGGTCTAAACCATATTTATACTAAACAAACACATTTATTTGACTTAATAAACGATTATGTTAGAGAATTCAAGCAAAACAGTTTCTGAATGAAGCTCCATTATCTACTTAGTCAAACCAGTTAAACAGAGACTTAGACGTGGGTGCTGCTAAAGGTGACTGAGAGGTTGTTACTTCCCGGTTGTATATAACAGGGAAAAAAACAATTTAATAATGAAAACAGATTAGTAGTGGTCTTAGAGACCTGGAATCGTGACAGTAGAGCCTAACCGGCAGCTTCTTGAGACCGGTTACATATAGCTTTATGGTAGCTACCTGACTCGAATGAAATATAAAGACTTGATCTTGATTCGTATTCATATTCTCAAACTTACCGCTTTGTTGAACGCAATATCAAAAGCGGAATACGAAATTTTCTGAAGATATATATATTTCAGGCATGGATATCAGTAGACAAACCAAGGCGAATAAAGGTACGTAAATGAATGAATTATGGAAGTTGTCTAGCAGCCAAATCGCTGAATGGATTTGTGACGCAGTCTATGAAACTTTACATTTGGCACAGTAAACAGATATGCAGTCGGATACGTGGAAAACGCGTACTGGAATACAGTTGCGAGATTAATAAGGCTATATTTATCTGGTTTTGTTACAACCTTTTTGTGAGTAGTTCCTGATGAGCTTGTAAAGTCTTAACAATAGATACGAAAATCCGTGGGGAAAAGGGAGGTGTGATTTATTGGTTCCCTTCTTTTCTAAACCTTCGTAACCACATTTTGGGAAGGTACTACAGCTGCAGATGCTGGTTTTTGAGGCAAACACCTTACTGCCGCTACACCTAGGTACAGTTGGTAGCATAAGCTTTAACTTCAGGCTTTAAGTGTCCGAATTTGTGAAGTAACTTAATATATTTAAGAAAATAAGACCTTACACAAATTTACATCAGCATAGTGGGAGAAGAGCAACAACAGATAAGAAAAAACGAAAATGTTATCCACAAAATCGAGGAAATGAAAGAGGTAAGCCAGGCTTTGACATTGAAAGGTATGAATAAGATAGAGCATAAGTCAATCAATAAGTTATGACTAAAGTAAAAATTGTCACGAAAGTGCATTGGTCTAAATTTCCACACTACATCAGCACAGTAAGATAAATGAATCACGAATGAGTTGAACTAATAGTAGAAAAGGATTTGAATGAAGGTAAACAATGAACGTGTACTAGTCGTTCGGTTTAAAACTGAGAAGTGTCTAAATTACTGGAATTTAATTAAATGTCAAAGTCTCGTGACATTATTTTAGCATACTGCATCTAAACTGATGGGAGGACTTACGATAGTAACAAATTATGACAAAATCTTTGGTCAGGAACTGCTCGAGGAATTTGATTAGTGCGAATAGGTTGTTCAAATCCACGTTTTCTATAACCAAAGAAAAATCCGATATAAATTAACGGTAATGAAATCCCTAGCCATAATGACAACAACGCGAGCAGTGTAGTGAATGGAATAGCTGCAGAAGATCCTTTGTACCAGATAAAAGTATTTATTACCAGTCCAAATACAAGCACGATTCCTGGAAAAAGCAATCCGGTCTAAAGAGAAGTTTATAAAAACAATGCACAGACATTTAACAATTAGAAATAATTAAAACAAACGTTGTCTTATTTAAGTTGTGAATTGAATGAAACAATACAAACGATTAAAAAGATTTGAGGTAATGAGTCGATAGATGGTATATGTCAATACCCTTTTATGGTACCAATTAAGAACTAAGTTCTTTTGCTTGGTGCAGTATTTCGACAGAAAAAATGAAATCCAATAACTAAGTAGCTTCGTGCACCCTGGTACCCGAAGTAAAACAGGCAGAGGATAGTTTGAAACTATAACACAATAGCTGAGTACGCAAACCATTAATTTATAACTCTTGTGTCAATTGATTGCAAAATAAACTAACACTGTTGACAGGGTTATAGATCTCTATTGCTGAAAAGCACAAAAATGTAAACAAATCTTCGAATTCAACAGATGAGATATTTTCTTTGTAATAATTCAGTAGTAACCTGCTCCATTATGGCCGAAAATAGATTCGATATATAAAACTAATTATACAAGCTCACTCTTCAAAATAGTGATTGTACATATTTATTTATTCCTTTTTATCATGCCTTTTTGCTTCTGGTATGTCGGATGGAGATATTAAGTCTTGTTACGATCAGTGCGGTCATACGGCAGCATCTATTGCATTTCTGGAGATAACTACAGGTTTTAGTCAAGCATGCAATACTTATTCCCCTCATCCTAATTGTATCTGAAATAGTACAAACAAGATCATTTAGATCACTATCTTTTGAGAATTCATATAAGGCCAGGAACATTTTAGTATATGATAATAGTTGTGTTTGTTTTCCCATAGTTTGTAAATACATACTTCACGTTCCATGTTTGCAGGGCTAGATGGTTTTAGTTTTATTTTCTTATCCTTTCAGTGCATAATAAACCTAGTTAGTTGTAAATATTAATTCTCACTGATTTTGCATAAAATTGTCGAATTTTGTGCCACACATTCTTTATCATTTTTGCTGGATTTGAACTTGATTTTTTCTTTTTGTCATGTATATCCAGAGTTACGTTTTGGTAATTGATGTCTTCTAGTGCATATATGTAGGTTTCTCACCACACCAAATTGCTTTTCATGTGGTCTGCTTCCATGCGATTAGCTATAAGATTCATAAAGTATGTTCCATATATTTGTGAACCTCGGTTGTTTCAGTAATGTGTCTACTCTTGTTAGTCAGGATCAGTATCTTGGAATTACGCCCTGAATAGTAGAGGCAACGTGTGTTTTCCGAAGTTTAGTATTCGTATTGACAAATAGAAACGCTTGTAATAAAACAGAACTCGGTAAATGATTCTAAATTTGTAGAAAATATGACTAGATTGATGTATAGTCTAAGTATTCGGAACCTATCGTGAGGAACAGTGCTAACCCCTTTGTTATGATTACTGATTTTCGTCAATGAGAGAGGTCTAGTCGTATAAACTCGTGCACTTACAATTCTCGAGAATGAGGCGTTTATTTCTTCGTCCTCAAAAATAGTTATTGTTTAACTTGAATACCAATCGAACTAAGAAGGTCCTATCAGTATTGCAATAAACTGGTGTATTTGGAATGAGACGGAAGTAGATTCTTTCATCATATCCTGCATCGCTAGTTGATGTAAAGCAGCTAGCTACAGATTAGATTTATTTACAAACAAATGTTATGATATAAAGCTAATTACCCAGCAATTTTGTATTAAGGTCTAATAATGTCCTAAAGTCTTGAGATTCTACATTAACTTAGTTATCTTTGGATTCCCTTACCTGAAGTTCGATATATTATTTCGTGACAATTTAAATAGGCTATTTCTTCTCACCTAGGAATTACGCTTCAGTCTCATTTCCATCTAGGAATGTAAATTGTCCGGTATTTTAGAGTCCTTTCTGGAAAGTGACAAATTGTACGTTGTTTCGAACTCTTGTCTATGTTATCTCACTTTACTCATGATAAACTGGTTTCGGTGACGAATATATGTATGACTTTTTTTGCAGTATATAAATATGATAAGCTTATACTTACACTGTAGGTTAGGCGTTTGGAAGTTATACCCTAGGTTTTGCGAATTTAAAGTTGGTCAGCCATATGTAGCATACAACCTGGCTCATTCATATCGGTTCAAGTTGGCACACCACAGCACAACTGGACAAAATGACTAATCTAAATCCCAGTGTAGTTGGAAAAGTAATAGCTCCCGTAGTTAGAAAGGTGGGTATGAAAAAAGTGTGGTGATATTTCGGGACTAAGGTACTAAAGGAAGACAAAGGGTGAATGCACCTATACCATTGCGAATGATTATGGGTCATTATCCAAAGTCTAAATGTTGGTTGCAAAAATCAACCGAACCCAAATCAAGTAATCTGCACCTGCTTTCATGGCTCAGACCAATCGTCAATGACTTTATGGACTGGTGTCATGCCTTTGTTTGCCAGCCCCTAACTTATAGTCTATTCCTACGCCAGACGAAATCGCCAGTCGAGGTAGGAGCCTGGGCATGCTTAGCGCGTCCCAACCACCTCATCAATCAATTTCCCACATTTATCTAGAACCATATACCTAACCTAGCTGCTGATTACTCGGTGGTACAAAAATACTTGAACAATACCTCGAATACACATATCATCGAATACTACTAACATACAACTAGTATTTGAAAATCAACAACTTCATTTACCTCAGGCTAAACTATTCCAGTAGTTAACGTTACCTGTGTTATGTTTAAAGAGATTACGAGTTCACCTAATCTGAGAACCGTCATATCGAACTAGTAGGAAAAGTCATCGTCTACTGAACTGGTCGGGAGGATGTGTTAAGACATTCTGATATGTTGCTCATCGATTACATTTGGCAAAAAATACTTCAGCCCGTTAACAGTTGGAATCATGTCAGCTTCTTATTCGTCCATTTGGTGTGTCACTAATAATCTTGGTCTTCAGATTATCTTCAAGTATCAGCTCTAAGCAATAAAGATGGTATATATATAAAGACATTCTAATTCTCCCTTTTTTCGAGAATACTTCTTAAAATAATTATTTTCGCTTTACTTTAAATCACCACATAGTTAGGCTATCGTCAGGATTGTTAGTATCCCCTTTTTATGACCTTTTAATCTAAGAGTGGCCCCCAAATGCCCTGGTACGGCCGAGAGTGGGGAAAGTCTTCTCTCCTCGAAATGCTCTCACATGGCCACTCGTACATAGCCTCTGCCGAGGAAGTCCTACTCACTGCCTTCTCGTGGCGGGGATGTTGCTTACGAAATTGAGAGGACAAAAAGCGAATGTCCGGCGCTTTAACCGGATTCCAAACCAATGGTGCACATGGGCTCCAGTATCCTGCGGGAATAAATGGTGTATGAACAAATTGTTGGTCACCGGCTACCATGGGACTGCATCTCCTTACGATGCTCCACTGCCTTGTGGATCAGACCTTCAGGTCAAGGCTCGTGGAGTGTGACCCCCTAAGAAAACCACCTGTTTCGGTTTGGGTACCCGTGCAGTATCACAGCCCTCACACATATCGAATGAGATTTGTGTGGCGCATATGTATTTGGTGCCTCGTTGTACCAATATCTATGTGTTAAAATAAATAAATAAACTAATTATACAAAATATCAGTTAAGTACTGTTCTTTGTTAAATAATTATGGTCACTGTTGTCCTAAATAGCTCAGCAGTAACATTTCTAACTATGACGGAACGGTACGGGTTCTACTCTGACAGAAAGCATTAAATTCCTCAAGACTGTCGAAAGACCTTGCTGATTATCATCAAATAGGACGGAACTTAGATTTAGAACTTCCTGGCGAACACCTTAGACGACCTAACATCAACTTTTAAATAGGAATCAAATATTAATTATGTTTAACTGAATACATAACAAGTAATGAATAGATGGGGACTAATCTGAAAGTAAGTAACCAAATAATGTTAGGAACTTATTAAAAATAAAGCAGAATATTCATTACATGTCATCATAAATTAACTGATTAACGAAAGTTAGTATTCAAATACTGATTTGAGTATGAGAGGATTTGAGAACATTTACTGTAAGACTGACGAAACTGAATTGCAGAGAATTTTAAACTACTAAAACAATAATCAAGTGAATTAGACCACTGAACTACGTCTTACTACTTGATACTCGTAAATAATAGATTATGATTTTAAAATAAAGCTCAATATTATATATATATATATATATATATATATATATATATATATATATGGATTTAGAGTTTTGGAATGTCACAAGGATAAATTAAACTTACGGCTACTGCGGTGGACTTCCAAAATGGCCCACGTAATGTCTTATACAGTCTTCCAGCAAAATATCCAGCAAAAAGTCCCATAAACACGTATGTGAATATGGCTGCGTTCATAAGTGCACCACGAGAAGCTGGCGACAATGTCCCGAGCATAGCAAAAACTAAAACCAATCGTTTTCATTACGAAATAGGACAAAAAAAAGCGGTAAAAAAATTCAGTGGATTTTACTTTGAAAGTATTGATCAGATGCAAGAAAATTGTTACGCAGAAATTAGATTGAGAGTTGTGTTTTGAAACAATAACATTATAGAATTTAAGAATGAGTTAGATGGATGATAATTTACTTTGTTAGACAAAAATATTAAACACATACTATACCACGAGGAATCACCAGATCTATACAAATAATTATCAGAGTGTTTTTGGACAGATTATCAGTCATGTTTCATATAATTGGGGTCGCGTGTGAAAAAGTTTGCTTTTACAAACTTCAAAACTAATATCAAGTTGTACACTAATTGAGAAATGAGACTGAACCTAATTGTAGTGTAGTCGAATTCCTAGTAAAATTATGATGATTAAATAAGTAAGAAATATATACAGTCAAAGTAACTGATATAGAATATTTATAATTTCAATAGTTGATATCGTAAGTCAATTGAAGCTAGACCACCACGGAAAACCTGGAAGCACTGAACAGCCGTTTCGTCTTATTGTGGGACTATTGCGAGACCGATAGGTCCTGGGTCCGAATCCCGCGGGGCGGGGTCGTGGACGCACACTGCTGAGGAGTCCCACAATAGAAAGAAACGTCTGTCCAGTGCTTCCAGGTTTTCCATGGTGGTCTAACTTCAATTGACTCATGATCTCAACTAATGAAATTACTAAAATCTCCACAAAACCCCTTCGAATATTTATAAATAATAATTACGTGACTCAAGTTATACAATGTATAAAATGAGGTATTTCTTTAGATTAAAGTAATAATTATATAAATGATAAAAGCAATACTCTGATTTGAATAAAAATATAAAACTATCGAAGCGCTAAACAACTACTAAATAAAAGTTTGTTCCTTTTCTATAAAAACTCAATCAACAGATTTATGAAACTTGAATCCGCACAATTAATCAGGCATCAAGGAAGGAACGATTTCCCTAGTGTAAAGATCACTATAACTTATCGAAGTTAATGAGTAAAATGTGCTCAAAATTTCCGTGTTTCTTTTGCCGCAACTATGAAATATAAAAGTTTAAAAAACCCACTCAATCATGCTCACTTTTGTTAACAAACGACTCAACTTTCTACTGAACAATTCTCTAACAAGTGAAGAAAAACTGGACAGAAAATTTCAATTCGAATATGCACGTCTGACAAGAGATCTAGCATAACAGCTCATCAGTTCACGTGGTCTTATTAACTGACCTGAGATACAGTTTTAAAACTACTTCTATTTGAATCAAATAAACAGAAAATAAACAATTCCTTAGTGTTGCATTAATCACAGTTTACTTTTTATGATCTTTCAGTATAGACCAACTAGGATAAATTATTCATAAATCATCCTACTAGAAATAATACCAAACAATCATACGAATCCGCTGAAAATGTATCTAAAGTATTAAGACTGTCAAAATAATAATGCAGAAAAGAAACGTTTCAGTGTTTACTATTCGGTCAGTTTTAATAACCATAGAACCCATAACAATTGTGCACTAGCCAGAGCTCTCATACCAAATCAGCACAAGAAGATGAAATTAACATGGTAAATAGAAAATGATTCAAAAGTTATAATAAGAATGATATAAAGAATGATCAATCCATATGTTACACTTCAGATTAATACAGAAAGTTAACAAAATAAAGAACAGATAAACCAAAGTAATTGTTTTAATAATGGCAAAATCTAAACACAGAAAATATAGATCGTGCAACAAAAAGCAATAATCATAAACGATGATTAATTAGTGCTAGAAAATGTCATTCTGATACATGCCATAAATAAGCGCTTAAGGAATCTATTTTTTCCAATTCCTGTCAAATAAGTTATTCACTATCAGAGTAGGACATTAGTATAAAATTTCTCGGAATACAGAATGAATAATTGACATTTTAACCAACATTAAGAATCCAGAATCGGTTGGATTCAATGCAATTAACAAATTACTAATACTTGAATGTACTTTTAAGTAGAAAATATAAATAAGCTAATAAAATCATGAATGTAAATCTAATAAGAAAAATATAGTGGGTATGATAATTGAAGCACAAGTGCTAAGAATAACTTAAGGTGAATAGGTCAACTGGTTGAAATAAATGTTTATTAATACTGATCACTAGAATTCAAACTACTTTTAACAACTACAGGCTTGCTTCAACAGAACCATAAAATAGTAGTAAACAATGACTGAAAATTAATAACTGTCATACAAGGGTACTTTATTTATTTATTTCAACACAAATATTGATATAAAGTAGCACTATATATATGCACCATACAGTAAGCAAAATGAGATTGTGAAAAAGGTAAGCATAATAAAAGAAAACAAAAATCAATGAGAGTAGTCCGCAATGGCAGAAGCAGTTCAAGTGAGAAAACACAAACAAAAAGAATTTTCCAAGTTAAAGAAGTTCCTCTCAGTTCCATAAAGTAAAAGTAAATTACAGCAGGACCGCAATTAGCTTCTGTTCTGAGCCATGTTTGGTAACTTCTCAAGCCAATGTGTTGTGCTACCTCTAGGATTCCAACCACGGGGTTGTGAAGGACCGAAAGGTCACAGTCTCGTGCAGCTTCACTTTATATCATGACGCCGTGTCATAAATTGCACAGATGTACTCACCATATATCTGGTTCTTAGAATTGAAAAGCCCATTTTCTTAATTATCCCCATGTTGCACAGCCTAATATTGTTATTCACAAGAATCACAGTTTACATCTCAAGCTTATTTTAATTAGAAAACCATTCAAAACCAAGAAGCATTGAACAGCTCTTTTGTCATGATATGGGACTCCTCAGTAGTGTACATCCAAGCCATCTCACAGGGGATTTAACCAGGACCTTCGGATATCACAACGAGCCCCTAACCTTTAAACGACTAAGACGACATTCAATAGTTCACATGTATAACCTCAATCAATATGAGATATTTTGCGACCATCGTCTTCTGACCCTATAATGAGAAATTAACTAACTGTTCCATCTTTTCTGGTTGAACACTTTTTACTGTTAAACTATTAAATATATCAAATAAGTGTATTATTATGCTATGTGACCATATAACTCCTTGGGACCGACGGGAACTCCGCACCGACTAATAAAATGTTGTACTTAAAAACATATAATGGTCAGAATGTTGGATTTGGCAACTATGTATATTGTAAATAGTTACTATCAATAAATAATATGCAATTGGAAACAAAAATTGGACTAGAAAGTTACTTACATATTACAATGAAAACCATAAAGAACAACTGGACACCAGATCCAAATAATGCTGTAAATAATCGCGTATGTCGTGGCGGTCGAAAAACGTCTCCATGTACCAATTTCCATCCTGATTCCTCTAAAATATCCTCCTATAAGGTAGGCAAAAGTGATGAGTATTAGTCCAAACAGTTTTAATAGGATGCGTCTTAAGAAAATTTGAGGATCTACTTACTACATCATCACTGCGGTTATATTTGGCAATATCCCTCCTTAAAGTTCGGATAAGTATCATGGATATGACACCTAAAATGGGAAAAGTAACAAAATACATAAAGTTGGATATGAAAACACAACGAAAATAATTGGAATTTAGACTAATTTAGGAAAACCTGGCTATCTAACTAAAGCAACTACACACATTGATAGTTAATTGTAATAATAATACAGTAATCTGACTATCAGAGAACAATGAAGAACAGAACAAACAACATACAGAACCCTGTTTTTAAGTGCAAATCATGCTGGGTTAGAAATAGAAACACTTCCGAATGCTTCTGTTTTGTGACTTTTCTGTACAGAGGTATGATTCAACGAGGTAGCAGGAGACAATTGCCTTGAATGTTGATTCTGTATTTTTATTAATCTTATAGATTTCCTCATTCGATATTTACTTTCTTACTGTCTAATAATATTCGTTTGCTTCATTTTCCATTTTCATTTCTTTGATTTTATGCATGTACTGTCAAAGCCTAAGTTTATTGGACCAACATGTGTTTAAAGTATTAAAGGAGAGTAAACCTGTTTCACTGTATTAACAGTAAAAAAATCTACTTGATATTGGTCATTCTAGATGGTCACTGTACTTCAATTAAATCTCATTAAAGTCAGTCACCAAACAACAGTGTTGAACCTAATGCTAAAAGATTTTGGTTGAATCACCTTAGGAGTCCCATAAAGTACTATTTTACTGGCTCAGCACATTGTGAGAGTGTGATTAATGCTGACGTAAAGGATATCCGAGCTGTTTTAAAGATTTTGATCAATATCTCGAACCAGCATAACAGCTTTCATGACCAATCAAACTGTTTTTTAACAATAAATTTAGATTTCCATATTTACGCTCTGTGAATTAACGCAGAATAAATTCCATTAGCTAAAATTATCGCGAAACCAACTATTTGTGTGTTAGTGAAACATTATATTTGACCCATAGTGTGGCTATTCCCGTGACGTTGTATCCGTGTGCTGACTTGACGAAGAACATAAATGCATGAAGAAATCTCGTTGATGATACGGAAAATTCACTTCGACTATATTCAACCTAATCGCAAATCACAACTAAGTGCTTAATAAGAAAGTCGCTTCAGTCTCAATTTGAACATCGTGAAGATTTAATATTTGAGACACAAAAAATAGACACTTGTTTGAAGGGTATCGTTTTCGCGTTTTTCCTAACATATGATTAATGACAAGAGTTAACCTTGGACCTTGGATCTTCCTGCACTTATCGTGATTTTCGGAGCCATTTCAAACACTTATACTAATCTTAACAACAAAATTATACCAAGCCTTTATTTTCAATCATATTTCTACTTGTAAATTTGGGTTGTTTATGATTAGTGAGGTCTCAAAATAGAATGAATTCATTTTATCCCGTAAACCTTTTGTAGTTGGTTTGCTCAGAAATTTTGAGCACAACTTGTCAAAGAAAAAAGGCGAAGATCAACAAAAGTATGTCTAGATGATCAGGAAGAATTCAAATAAACGTTTCCTGAAGGAGTAAAGATGGAATTATACTACTTAACTTGAAAAAGATGTGAAGTTGGGAATTTAGTATAAGTGATGAGATATTTATTCCTAATACTTGAGAGGGTTGAAACATATCACTATCGAAAATTCTATTTTCATGGCATTGCGCTTTACAGAAAGAAAGAAACTTTAGAACAAACGTGGTACGAAAAATTAATGTATAGTGGATATCAAATAGTTGAGTCTTGAGCTCTGTAATGACAAAAGATTGACCCGTTTTCCCCTACAGATATTAACACAGAAAATAGCTGAAAACCATTGAGAACCAACATGTAATAAATTACACTTCAAAACCAACAAATTCTAAACTGCACAAGTACATTTTTAGTCACTGATTCTAAAAAACTATAGAGTTGTATTATATTCCTAACCCTACCTAAGGTCTGTAGTCTTCGAAATAATATGCTTCTCTTGGTTTGTTATCACTGAGTTTTTGTTTTTGCTGCTGTGCCATTTTGCTTGTCGATCTCCATTCACCCTGTTGATGCGAGATGTGGAAGCTTGGACTGGTACATTTATGTGCCAACACCCTCCACGATTGTCTTTACTAATCCTTTATAGCTTACAATCAGTATAATCAATATAATCTGGAATATTTCATAACTAGCTTTTTTAATTGTCAACTAGGTCAGAAACAGAACTACCTAGTGTATAGCACTACGTAGGAATGGTAGGCATATGTTAAGGCTTATATTGAGCGAGGCACAAGAAGACTTGCATACTACAATGGCTTATATCGCTTCAAAAAAGTTAGGCAGTGAGAATTTATTTATTTATTCCAAACGGTTGGTGGTACGAGTTGGGAAACGAGGTCACACAGAACAACCTTCAAGTTATTATACCATATCAGAAGGAAAGGAAAGGAACACAATATTGAAAAGGAGTGGTTAAAGTAAATGAATCTACTCTACTATTAGTGATCTGAAGCTACAAACCTAGATTGCTTTGTCGAAAATATTTGAATGACTAGCCACAAACCGCAATTCATTAAGGAATTCAAACTAACAAGCAGGTAACTCGAAACTTAAACTGGAAACGCAAATGCTTTTTTCAATCGATTAGAACTTCATCCTGGTTAAAAAGGCTAGGAGAAAAAACAAGCATTAAAAAGGCAACCGTCAGTGAGGCCTGTTGAAAAAACAGGTTCATAATCTACTCAACGTAGACGATTGTAACAATGGGCAGATCACCCCAAACAGTTTCATTAGTCTTCAGTTACCCTCCAGTTGCCTATCGCCAAGAAACTTTAGTGAAACACCGAAAGAAGCCCCTCAAATATTGACAAAGCTTAAAAAGCTACGGCTAATCTCAATCAATGGAAAGAAGACTTGATGAATTAACTCATGAGGTTTTTAAAAATGGTGGTCCTGTTTTCGTAATTAGACCGACAGAAATACTAGCTATAGTCTGAGAGCTGAACGTAATCCTATCAGACTGGTTAAGATCCCTGATCACCCCAGTTCATTAAAAAAGACTAAAATCCTGTTGTAGCAACCAAGTGTCTAAGATATTAGTCTTAGTGATTATACAACGCCCAAATAAGGTTCGCAAGCTGCACATCAAGGATGGTTTCAGACTTGGATGTAGATGTATCGATCAAACGTTTACCCTATGTTATTTTCCAAAACACAGTATACCTACTGCCTTCCGACAATGATGGCATTTCTTGATATGACGGTACTTGAGTCCGTAAACTGAAAGGTTTGTTGCAAAAAAATGCCCGAAGATGTACAAGAATCTTGTGAAAGCTTTTTACACGGACGCTAACGGTTGTCAGAGCTTATGATCGACTGTTCTCGGAGTTGTAAACTTCAAATAAAGTTCGCCAGGCCTGCTCACTGATTGGTTGGAGTTCGTGGAATAACCAGGACCAGTGGTTGGATAAGTTTGGTGACAAAGCTCAGAATCGTTCACAATGACGTAAATACATTCACCTTTTATCTTCTCTTAGATCTTGAATTATGAAACTATTTTATACTTCTTATCCCTCTATTTCACTCTCGAATAATATTATCTACTCGTGTTCTTTCCTGATACACCTGATAATTCTACTTTGGTATTCATCAGGATTATATCATCTCATTGTTCTGACGTACCGGGACAACTCCAACTTACGTTTGGACACCAATGTACTATAGCTCCTTTTCCTTTCGAAACCTGACTACTCCGGATACAATCTTGTCCATCACATAAGCCGATGCGTATATGTACCAGGTTCTACATTGCTTACTACTGACTGAAACAACCTTGAACCTTTTCAGTAGGGCTTTTATTTCCATTGGTTGAAACCACAATCTGCACATTTGTTCGTTGGTAACTCAAACAGACACCGATATGTGTAAAAGTATTTCGAATTTCAATCCAGCCAAAGTATGCAGATCAACTGATTAACAGAATTGTTTTTCCTACTGAACTTTATGTTGCAGTTTAAGCTGAGAAAACAAGCTCAGTTCCCCGAATACTCTAGAATGAAACACACAGAGTTGCTATGTCACATTCAGTTTTGGAATCAAATCTAACTGATGTGATTGTACTCAAGGTAAAAGTAGAAGTTAGAGATGAAGAAAGCTGATAGTTATCATGCTAATGAAATTGAATTTCAGAAAGAATTATACATACTGATGTCCTGTAGAAGAACCTACAAAAATTTTTACTTGAACACACAAGTGCTTATCTCAACAGATGATAATGTTTTAACATGTTTGGATGAGATTTTATCACAGCATTGCTCATTAAAGACAATAAGACTGAACCTATTTTCAATGGACTGTTATGAACATAACAAGATCAATGCAATATTATCAGACATATTCAATAGTATAGCTTTTTAACTATAAGATAATTACAACCAATTTTATTTTAAACGCTCTTCATCTGGCCTTAATAGTAGTGAGGAATTCAAAAACAAATACAAGATAGTCAAGATCGTTTTAAAACTAGTCATAGTAAGTCTTCGATGCGCATCATGTCAGCTGCATGTATACTGATTTGTACGCAGCACTTGAATTTCTTTAGTCGCAAATCTAGACAATATTCTTGGTCTACTGAATGGACTGTTTTGAATGAGTAAGTACTTATTATTTCCATTGAACATAACCAGATGAAAACGATATTCATGGTTAATGAGTAGCCGGTGCATAATATGTAAAACGAGAACACTTAGGTGACTATGATCGAAAAGGTCATAAAGTTTCATTGCCCTATGCAAAACAGCTAATATACAGAGCTCTGAAAATACAGTACGTAAAACTCACTGGTAAGAAAGAGTACAATAACTACAGAGTTAATGATTGAAAACCAATGTAATTGGCCACTTGCTGTTTTGAGATAGATGTCCCAGCGCGAAGCCCATTTTATGTCTGATGGTTCCCAAACAACTTCGCTGGTAAAATGTATTACGGTTTCCTTTCCGTCAATCTTTTTCCAATTGGCAATCGATATATCTGAATCTAAATCTTTGCACACCCCATTCTCCATGTGCAGGTTTTTTTCGGAAATACTTTTGAAAATGATAATACTGAAGACTTACCTCATGGGTTCGATTTCAAAGCCGACAAAACGGTAGTGACCACTATGGAAATGTAAAATAAGTCAAGTTAACATACTCATCAGTTTGGTGGTATTGCAGTATAAACTTTAGGTGATTATTAACATAAGCCACTCCATCGACAACTGACCCAAGTCTGTATCCGTGCTCATATCGAAAGGTTTTTCCGTTACCAGAAGACACTTTGGTTCCGCAAGGAAGGTTATCGATAGACCTTTACCAAGAAAACTAATTAGACGACAGGTTTAATTACAGATGAACAGAATACTGGCTCAGAATGAAGTGCCTCAGGAGAACGGCATCGGCACCGCTTAAAGTGAGAGGTGGACAGACTTCAGAACAACCTGTATTTTCGGCCATTTTTATCGAATATGGAGTATTGACGACACGATCACCGCGAAGTATCTCACCTAAATTGAATTCCGGTTAAAAAATAAAGCTATACCAATATTCTCTGGTGGGTACTCAACTAACTGCTTCGGACGACAAAATGGGAGTTTATAATACTCAAAAGGGAGTTGAGTTAAGTAGCTAGTCAACTTTACAGCCTGAAAGTAAATTCATCTTAACAAAAGCTACGTCATACCCTGACTTCAATAGAATCCCCCTTATAAAACTCATTCGGCGTCACTCCAGGAACACTTACTGCTTCATTTATTGACACAGAAGAGAAGAAGATGAGAAGGCCGAACGCCAACATAGCTTCGACCTTGTGGCTTTTAAATAAAGTGCCATTATCAATGCACAAGTATCTTATTCAATCCTCAGTCATCAGTAACAAGAATAAGAGATCTATCAACATATATCAATCCTTGCAGTTTGCAACACTGTGGAGGTCCAGTCTCGTTTTGAATATATCAACAGACCTATCTACCGCGATCGTTTCAAAAAGGGCAGTGATTTTTGTACTTGTTGTGATTATACTTGCTTTGGGTACTTATTGCACCAAAAAGCATTCTTCGTCTACTTTAACTAAAAGTACTTTGGTTAAAGTTTGAAAGTTTTTGCTAAATTTTGTCCTGGGCACGGTGAAGAATGTGTCAGTGTAGTAAGTGCTGCTACTGGTCCCGTTAAACACCTGACTGTGGTTGACGGGAACGTGAAATCTCCGTTGACGAGGAATGAAGTGCCGCTTGATATTGACATCGGCAGTCATACACCTCTAGTTGAAATAGAAGATCCGGATAAAACTGTCCCCGTTCCAAGTAGTCCAGGTGTGGCTGTCCTGACTGGTGACAAATGGACTTCAGTAAGGAGAAAAAGAAATGGGAAGAAAAAGGCTGTAAGCAAAACGCAGCTGGCCAGCAAGGCATTGGAAGGGATATAATCAGAAGAAAAATCCTCACTGCGTGGCAAGACAGATCTCTCTGAGATATCAGTCATTTTTCATAAGATAAGAGAATCTTCAGAGAAAGAACCAAAGGCGAGATTTGAACACGATCTCAATCATATTAAGATATCATTAAGTAAACTACTCCCAGATACAGTTTCAGGAGTCAGTATTTGTGAGCTTTATAGAATAGGAAAATAGGTGGATTCCGAAAGTCCTCCGAAAACTGCCTCCTGAAGGTTACATTCAACACGGTGGAAGAAAGGAGCCTGATTCTAAGTAATTCACGTAAACTGTTAGATCCGGAATATGTGTCCGTGAGGATCTCAGCCTAGCTGATCGTATTAAGAGACGAGCTGCAGAAGCGAAAATAAATGAACGTCGCCAAAACGGGGAATGAAACCTTGTTCTTAAGGGTTTTCAAGTTGTAAAATTTCGGAGCAAAACGATCCTCAAGCCACTCTGGGTGGCAAGGAAATGCTCTCCACAGACTTAGAGGTATATTACACAAATGCTCGCAGCCTACTAAATAAAATGGATGAGCTCAAGTCAGTGGTGGATAAAGAGAAACCGGACGTTATTGCTGTCTCGGAAATTTGGTTAACGTCAGAAGTATTAAATGGTGAAATCCAGTTGACTGGTTTCATAACCAGTAGGGCTGATAGATTGAACCGAAGGGCAGGCGGGGTTATTCTGTACACGAAAAGTACCCTAACCATAAGATTAGCTGAAACAGTAGCACATGTTTCAGGGACATGTGAACTGGTGAGATGTAAGTTGAAGTGCCGACGGCAAGATATTGAATTAGTTGTAGTATACCGCAGTCCAGAATGTGTAGCAGATGATTTTATCCTAAGTAAACTTAGGTCCTGTAACAACAACGGTCCTGTGTAACAACGGTAAAACTCTCTTAGTAGGCGACTTTAATGCACCACATATAAACTGGGTTAACTTAGAAGTAGGGTCATCCATATCGTCGTTCGACTGCAAACTGTTAGAAACCTAGATTGGATTAGCATTATTCCAACACATTAGAGATCCCACGAGATACGACTTAAGAAACGCTTCCTCTCTTTTAGATTTAGTCTTCACACACGGTGATGACGTTGGTCAAATGGCTTTTCTCCCACCACTTGGGAGAAGTGACCATGCAGTCATCTTATTCAAATTCATGGCTGAGATTGCCTGTCAAACAGTTGCACCGCCCCGTCCCAACATATGGAAGGCAGAAATACAGGCAATTAACTCCGCAACATCGGCTGAAAACAGGTAAATTGACTCAAAGGCATCAGTACAAGAGGCATGGACTCTATTCAGGCAGTTATACAATCGGGTAACTCAACCATGCATACCCTGGACTGTCCCAAAGAAAAAGAAGCACGGACATCCCTGGATAGGGCGGGATATTCGACGCTTACTAAGACAAAAGAAGAAATGCTGGGATGTTGCCATCCGCCTTGGCACAGCAGGTACGATGGAACGCCACAGATCGATAAGAAACGAGTGTATAACTAAAATTCGGGAAGCTCAAAGAAAATATGAAATGCAGCTGGCACAATCTGCACTCAAGCAACCCAAGAGGATATTCTCGTACATAAACTACAGAACAAGGATTCATCATTGGATTCCCAACCTAATTAAAGTAGGAAGTGAATCTGAAATGATAGAGGAAGATCAGGAAAAAGCTGAGGTTATGGCTGACTACTTTGGGGCAGTTTTCACTCAGGAACCTCCTCTAGAGAAAGAACCAGACCCAATTACAGAGTCAACAAACCAGCTACTCACCGTAGACTTTGAACAAAACGATGTGCTTAAGGCTCTTAGCACCCTAAACATTGATAAGTCAACAGGACCAAGTGAACTACACCCCAAAATCTTGAGACATTGCCCAATATATCGCGGCCCCACTGGCTGGGATATTCAATATATCACTTGACCAAAGTTTGTCACCTATGGACTGGAAGTACGCAATCATCACTCCCATACATAAAACAGGTCCACGACAAGTTCCATCGAATTACAGACCCGTAAGCCTAACCAGTGTTGTAATTAAAATACTGGAAAGAATAATCAAACGGACCATAACGGTATTTATGCAAACCAATAACTTGCTGAACATGGCACAACACGGTTTTAGAAAGGGTCTATCCTGTACAACGAACCTCCTTACAGCTAGGGAGTTCTGGATTAACGCGCTAGACAACGGAAACTCAGTGATGTTGTCTACATAAATTTCAGTAAGGCTTTGACAAGGTGCCAACATTAGTTGGCACTGCTATTGAAGTAGGAAAACCTTGGTATTGCCAGACCTCTTCTAAAATGGATGAAAGATTTCCTAGTAGTTTGTAGACAAAAAGTAAGAATAAATTCCAAGTGCTCTATCTGGAGACCAGTACTTAGTGAAGTACCCCAAGGTTCCGTCCTAAGTCATTTACTTTTTATAATGTACGTTAATGATTTTACTAGTTTAGTACAGTCTCCAATGTTATTATACGCTGACGATGTAAAAATTTGGAGAGTAATAACTGGAGACAAAGACGCATTTACTCTTCAGGCGGACATAAATAATATGATAAACTGGTCTAAAGAGTGGCTGATGCCTATCAACGCGGAAAAGTGTCTACATGCACTTGGGGGATTCAAAAGTTGGTCAGTACAACATAGGGGATAAGTCATTACCAGTAGTCCGGTCTCATAAGGATCTAGGAGTAACAGTGAGTAATGATCTTAAGACGACGGCCTATTGCCTGGAGGTCGCAGCCAAGGGGTTTCGAACCATCTGGGCTTTAAAAAGGACATTCACTAAGTTAGGTACTACCATTGTTAAGTTTGTTTTACATTGTTCCTGCTCATTCCTTTTCTACTCTTTTGTATGTTGGTTTATACTACTTATATATATTCAGTAAGCAGTTGCATGCCCAACAATTTTCACAATTATGTTGTAACTCAGGTTGTACTGTAACATTCTGGAATGTTCACATATATCCTTAACGTTTATTTTACTTATCATTGTATTTATCATTATAATCACTGTAATTTAATTACTGTAACCTTTATACACAGTTTTATGTATTTGTTTAAACGCAACAGTTTCCATATTGTTTGCTCTTGGTTCGAGTTTCGGTTGTTCATAAACTGTTATCAAATTTAGACACAGCTATCGCCTGTCTTTGGACTATCGTATGTTATAATCATTCTTTATGTTACTCTTACAGGAAGCGTTTGCTATTTTCATTCTTGAACGACGCGTTTAAACGCCTAGACACCTCACAAGTTGAGGTTTGTAACTAAATTTTGTGTATTATTTAATAAAGAACCGCTACTGTAAACAAACCGTTCTTTTGGAAACTTCGATTTTGCGCGTATCTCAATCGGGGTTACTTGGACGCTCCGACAGAATTAACAACCATTGTCACCACAGTATAGACATCCTTAGTGAGAACTAAGCTAGAGAACTGCGCTCAGGCGGCAACCCCCTGTTTAAAAGGTGACTCGGACATACTAGAAAAAGTACAGAGGGAGCTACCAGTGCAATTCTGGAACTCCGGAGTTTATCATACAAAGAGCTGCTTGAAAAACTGGACCTTTTTACTCTGTCCTATCGCAGACTAAGGGGAGATCTAATATTGATGTACAGAATACTGAGAAATGATTTCGGACCTAACTTATTCTCTCTCTTTCTTCCCACTAGATCGGGATACCTCAGAGGACATAGCAGGCGAGTAGAAAAGCCAAGAACGAACAAAATACCAGTGGCATACAGGTTTTCACACCGCGTCATCAATACTTGTGACCTGCTGCCTGAAGCAGTGGTGTCCGCACCTTCAATTGACTCTTTCAAGAGAAGACTGGACACTCACAGAAGCATACTAGAAAAGGGATAACATAGGCCGTAGGCCTTCTGTCCTTACTACTCAAATCTGAATCTGATATTACAGAGAATTCCAGTAATTCACTACTCGGTGTGAGAAACGAAGCTCCAGTCGTACGTTTTGGTCTCGGTTTTTTGAACTTATTTAGAATATCTTCTCAAGCAATCAGTTCTAAACGAGAAGAAAAGATAAGACATATTAATACCAAGGTCACCATTCCGTATACAATAAGCCAATATTAAATCACACTTTATTCTGCAATAAGATAACGGAAATAATTTGAGGTGCTTCAGTCTGTCTCCATCAGCTAGGATGTAGCTGGACAATCTGAACTTCGCAGGTGATCTGGCTCCTTCATCACACACACAATAACAAATTCAGGAGAAAAGAATGGACAAAATTGAATAGAACTAGAAGGAAAGGCCCAGAGCAGAATATGTAGCAAAATGCTGGTCGATGGCCTATACTCCATTGGTAGTAACAGGCTAAGTAAGTAATTCAAAGAGAGTGAAGGCTCTGAACCTAAGAATC